TTCTGGTTGTTGGGGGTTATTCTCTCTGTATTGGCAATACTCACTGGCTCAGTCTACATCAGAGCTGGTGTTGCTCATCATACACAGAGGCAATGCTGCTGGGAGGCTGGTGGGAGTCATGGCGACTGGAATGCGTCAGATACTTTTCATCTAGTGAGTCCTCCGGGACTTCATTCACTTCTTCCTCCTGGAGCCCCATGCTGAGCCTGAGTGGGGGATGGAGAAGGAGGCAGACAAGACAGGAGATGAAAATAAGGCAACCAGCTTCAACCTGACAGCTGGTGCTCATCTGAAGCTCATGGAAGAGACACCAAATAAAAAGGCCTATCCTCTCAGAGAGAAAAAACATAACAATCCACTTCTAACTGGGACTTCAGTGTGCATAGAATTGGGGCAGGAGAGAGAGCAGCATGCGTTCACTGCACTGACCTCTAAATGTGGATGAGGAAGTAGACCCAACGACTTCTCTAAAATATACTCTGACACACAGGACACACAGAGTCCTATAATACAGACATTAAAATGCTATGGACAAATTTTATGTAAGACTATGTGAAGGGGTCCATTGAAGACTGTGTCCTGAGGGAATGTAGCTTCCTAGGGCTCTTATAGCTTTTATATCTCTCTCTCCATATATATGAATGTATATTTATATATATGACATGATTGGCTTTATCTTTTAAGATATTTCTGGCTATGAAACATTGGCCAACATATCTCAGGGCAACTGAGCAGAAAAAGGCATTTCACTTCATTTTTTAATCATACAGGTTTTCAGAAAATAGAGACCAGGTTTCTCTGGCTGGTTTACCTTTAGGTCAAAATGACTCAGTTAACTAAACTTGAACAATTACTAAGACATGGCAACTAATACAAGAACTTTAATAAGAACAGATAACGTGGGTTAAAGGACACATCATTGTATGATGAATGAATGAAATAGGAACAATCAGCAGCTTCTGGATTCTCCTGGATCTGGGACCTTTGGCCTCTGGGTCTCTTGCTTCTGGACTCCTCTCTAGGTTTCACCACTCCATGATCAGCCCTTTCATCACTCAGAGTTACCTGGCTGCCCGTGACTCCTGTCCGTCTTCATCCTTCCTATCATGGTGATTTTTTGTGAACCAAAACTGGAAAGAGTTAGTGGGAAACTGAGCAGGTCCCATCTCATGCTTACAAATACAAGGGCCTATCTGACCAGAGACACAATACTCTATATGTTTCTTCAGAATGCTCTGGGAGAATTATTCCAGGAGGGCTAAAGTTGTGTCTTTAGAGGAGCAGGTTGGCAGGCTTCCCTGAGCAACAGTGGACAATATATTACTGGTTGGCTGGATCGTCACCAGGACGTCTGCTATTGAGTCAAGGCAAAAAGTTCACAGTGTCCGGTTCTCCAGTACACGGGATACTTGCCGGGCTGTCTTCTGCACTCCTTCCGCTCTAACCTTCATTTCCCCCACAAACTTGGTGGATGGACCATGGCTGTGAGTCCCAATACTGCTCTCACACAGGTATTCCAGCAGCCACAGAGGAGCAAATACAACAGGAGAAACCCCCTGTTCTATCTAAATGACTGGACGGGGAGACCTCTGATGATGAGTGTAAAGAGACTCTTCCCCATTTCTTTTTTTTCCCTCTCCTGACCCTGCCCAGAGACCAGCCCATTTGCAGAACTGTGTTGTTGGGGCCACTGAGCAGGGATGTTAACCACAAATGAGAACCTACCACTCTAGTCCAAAAGGGACTAATTGTCCAAAACGTGTGAAGAGTGTCCCCTCCTCTTTTTTCTGTCTCAATTTTCTTGCCTCTTTGATCTTAGAGTAGCCCCCTGCAGTTTTGCAGGACAGCGTGACAGGAGAAATGACTGGGAGAACCCAATCTTTCTGAACAGAGGAATGTGGAAGAGGCCCCTTGGGAACTGGGAAGTAGAGAAGAAATGCCAGAGAGAGGAGAGGCTGGAAAACGATCTACAGACTGTCAAAAATATTAGGGTTCATCCCCAAATTGAGCTTGTGTGGAACAGAGACAAGGAATCATGGGAAAGGATTAGAGAACTGAATTACCATATAAACCATCAGCTAGTCCAGACTAAACCTAGTGGCATACTTGCTGAACTGACCCAAACAACACATCAAAGGCCCTGAACACTAAACTGATATTGGAACTGCTACGCATAGAATGTGAGATAGAACTTGCAGTCTAAACCTAGAAGTGGTTGATTGCCTGCTAAGAAATAATCCAGAGGGCTTTAACAGGACCCAGTGTCTCACAATATAGTATTCAAAATGTCCAGAGTAGAATCTAAAAGGACACAACATAAAAATATATACATATATATATAATCATTTGTTCATCTTTTAGATGAACAAAAAGGCACTTGACAAAACAATGTCAATTCAAAATAGAATTCTTAGCAAATAAGGAACTTCCTTGAATAAGTTGGAAGTTTCGTTTAGCTGGACCACGGCCTGCTCATACTTGTGTCAGGAGACAAAATTTCTTCTCTATTGTCAGCAGTCACCATCATAAAACAATAAAAAAAGGTTTGCTTGTTCATGGAAATATGAACAAATAAAACAAAGACTAGCTTAACCTGATGAAAGACAATGTGATCATTAATTAGAATAGCCAATATTATGAAAAATATCAATTCTCTTAAACTTATCACAGATTTAATGCAATGCCACTCAAAATCCCAACAGGATTTTTTTTTATAGACAATGACTGTGAAATCTATATGGAAAGGCCAAGAGCCCTGTTTTAGGCAAAGAGTTCTTAGATAAAACTAGACAATGATGATGCAATAAGTTGGACCTCACCAATATTAAGAAATTCTTCACTCTGAAAGAAAGTTAAGAGAATGAAAAGATAAGCCACAAACTGGGAGAAAATACTGACAAGTCAAATATCTGATAAAGGACTTGTATCCAGAAATATAAAGAACTCTCAAGACTCAATAATATGAAAAACTACTTTAAAATGAACAATATAGTGGACACTCACTTTCCCAAAGATATATGGATGATCAGTAGACATATGAGAAGATCTTCAAAACCATTAGTCAATAGGAAAATGCAAATTAAAAATCACAATGATAAGCAACGACACACCTATTAAAAGACAAATAGCCCCAAAACAACAACCGGATAATGTCAAGAGCTGGTATTGGGGAACAACTGCAATCTAACTCATTGCTCAGGGGAATGTGAAATGGTTTTGTCACACTGGAAAACAGTTTGGTAGTTTCTTATCAGTTAAATGTACAATCTTATAATGTATACTTTAAGGATACGTACACTCTTTACACTTCCCTGTGGCTCAGATAGTAAACAATCCGCCTGCAATGCAGAACATGGGTTTGATCCCTGGGTTGGGAAGATCCCCTGGAGAAGGAAATGACAACCCACTCCAATATTCTTGCCTAGAGAATTCCATGCACAGAGGAACCTGGCAGGCTATACAGTCCATGGACTCAAAGAGAGTCAGACATGACTGAGTGACTAAGACACACACACACACACACACACACACACACACACACACACATATTCACCATGTGACTCAGCAATCCTACTCCAAGATATTTATCCAAGCAAAGTGAAGTGAAAAAGTATTTTCACACAAAAATCTGTATGTGAATCTTAACAACTATGAATCATAATCACCCTAAACTGAAAACAATCTAAATGTCCTTCGGTGGATGACTGGATAAACAAAAAGTGGTACATCTCTATAATGGAATAGTACTCATCAATAAAAAGGAACAAACTACTGATACGTTCTGGAGATTATAAAAAATCTAAGGGGACAAAAACCAGATCCAGTGGTTGCAGGGACTTGATTTGGAGGAAATGGTTGACTACAAAGAGGTACAAAGGAACTTTCACAAATGATGGGACTGTTCTGTATCTTAATTGTGGTGGTACTTTTATGTAACACTGTATGCATTTTTCAAACTCACAGAACTGATTCTACAGTGGGTCTGTTTACTGCATATCAAATATCTTAAAAACCAAAAATGATTGGATGGCTGCTACCTCCTGCTCCAAAAGTCTATGATGATCAAAGCAGTTTTAGCAATGTGGTCTCTAGCCCCATATATTCTCCACTGTACTCTCGAGTACCATTGTCATGGTCCCCAGAATACTGGCTGGGAAGCAGGTGTGCTGTAAGCACCTGACAGTCCTCTTCTTTTAAAATTGTACCCCAAGTGCTGATATCAGGCTGCTGATTCTGAAGGCATCCACTTCAAAGACAGCTATCTCAAAGGAACACATGGGCAACTACAGGGCCAGATGAAGAGGCAAGGTGCTCCACGTCTGAAGTTTCTCTTGTTTTAGAGATCCCTGGCTGATTTTGATCATTGATGTCTGACCCCTTGTTTTTCTTTCCTGCACTTTAATCACCGGTAAAGAGTGAACCTATGAAATCCTAGGCACCCCACCCTCGACCCAAATTAGGCAGAACCACAGCCCTGTGCTGTCTTCCTCTTTTTACAAGTAAGCAGACTCTGACCTCACTGGGTAGCCATGGGTGAACCGTGTACCCTCTGGGAAATGTGAGTGATATACCTCATGTTTTTCAAATTTCCCTGATGGTTGTAGCTGAGGTGTATCTTGCAATCATAAGAACCACAAGGGTCAGTCCAGTGACAACATTGGCTCCTTTTTGGAATATGTCTGTGGAGGCTCGCCTTGGGCCCAGGGTTGGATGCCCAGGTATTTCTAGCTGATAGCTTCACTCTGGAGTGGGTTGCCACTTCCTTCTCCAGGGGATCCTCCTGACCCAGGGAGTGAACCCACGTCCGTATCTCCTGCATTGGCAGGCAAGTTCTTTACCATCTGAGCCAGCAGGGAAGCTGTCCTGTAGCTGAGAATACCACGGAACCGCAGGACACCTGGCTACAACGTCACTGAAGGAGTTGTGAAGGTGTGCAGTCTCACGTGAGGTTAGGACCTCTGGAGGAGCCAAGTGTTCTCGGGGCCTGTAAGATAACTTACCAGTGGAGAGTTTGCGGGCAAGTCTCTCTGCCAGCTGGCTTCCTTGGGCCAGGAGCTCACAGTATCTCTGTCTCTGGTAGTAGGTCATGCCAGTGCTCTTGAGGAAACTCTCAAAAGTCTTAATTGTGTTCTTTGCATGCTGTGTGAATAGATGGCAGACACCTTTCCCTTCATGTATCTTCTGTCGTAAGCAGGTCAGTTCTTGGGCCTGAGCCTCAATGAGGGGATCATATCTCCTAAAGTGGCAAAGAAAAGCAAAATGTAAAAAAAAAAAAAGTAAAGTAAAATTTAAAAGTGAATGTCATGAATGATAAGTTATGGAAATTTCAGCAGAGGTGTGTCTTCGATTACTTGTAAGGAATTTCCCAAGTTGAATACTTGCACAAGTTGTGTGACTTGCCTGTAACAGAAGGAATGAGGAAATAGTATTGGGTTTGTTTCCTTCTTTTTCATTAACCTCACTTTAAAAAAAAAAAAGCCCCTTCAGTTCCTCACTTCAGTCCACATCCGTTTTAATGTCATATGCGTCATCAAGCATTATACAGAAAGTGTGGCCAATTGGGGGTGGGGAAGCCAGGTACAGAGGTGTTGGTCAGGTACATCTGGTATTAACTGAAAGGATGAAAAGAAAAATCAGTGAGAGGGTTAAGATGAAGAGCATTCCAATGAATGACATGAAGATAAGCCATTATAACAGGTAAGGAGGCTCTCAAGAGTAATTAAAATTCTGAGTAACAATTACATGACTCTGTCTGGGATTTCACAGTTTTCTAATTTTGTACAAATACTTTTTATAGATTCCCAACTAGAATGTGAGCTCTGTGAGGCTAGAGACAGCCCATATGACAGCTTACAGTGCATAGCAGAGTATACATACCTCAGGAGCCAAGCAGTTAGTACTTAAAACCACATAACCCTAATGCTAGACTAGATATTAATAGTCATCTACCCCATCTGATGCTTGAATCTCCTCAACACTAAGCAATCATCCACAGATTGTCTTTCAAAACTCTATTCCTTCGAGCTCCTATAAAGAGCCAGAAGAGCGGGAGGCAGAGCTCAGGAGAAGCAGGGTCTCCAGACCGAGGCCTCCTCAGTCAGCGTCTCCGCCTTAGTGGCTCGTACACATCTGAGCTTCTCAGACTTCATTTTAACCACGGTGGAGGAGGTGCCCTCAGTGCCTCAATCTACCCTATCTATGAAAGTCTCTAAGCATAGGCAATACTGGCCCTTGCAGATTAATAATTCATTTTCCAGGCAATGACTGCTCAATTAGCTGTCTACCCAATGGCCCTACCAGCTAACACTCCACATAGTCTGATACTTTTAGAAATAAATCAATCAATCAAAGGTGGGGAAGAGAAACATTACTATCATAAAAGGTCCCTGGGGACATTAGAAATTAGGAGTGTCCCTTCCCAGCCACGGCTAAGCCCCAGCCTTAAGGGCAGAGGTCCTCCTGGTCCCCAGGCTGCCACCTGCCAGGGACCTAGTCTCACAGAGGCCCAGGCCTGAGGCAGCATAACCTGGGGCAGCCACCATCAAGAAACCCCTCTCACGAGCCAGGGCTCTCTTGCCACCATGGATTCCTCCAGTCAGGACGGTATGACTAAAACAGTTACAGGTTTTTTAGCTTACTTCCTAAATGTGACTTGCAGTTTTGTGTCAGCACTTTGTTCTCATGTATGCTCTACAATAAAAACCAAATCTAATATTTAAAAAAAGATGATAAGTACTAGGCCTATAAAGAGCAAGAACAGGTATAATAATTATGGCTAATATTGTTGAAAGCTCCACATGTGTGTGAAATGGTTATAACTATTGGTCATCGTGCATTTAATCTCCATAACCCTCTGAGGCAGACACTGTATTTTTATTTCACAGATGAGGTCGCTGAGATTCATGGAAAATTGAGTTCATTTGCCCATTGCTAATTCACAAGCCACATTGCCAGAATTCCAATATGAGCATGTGAGCTCATTTTATTCATATATTACTTCAGGGAGAATCCAGAGAGTCCTCCATTAGTTCCCACAGCCCCGCAGGCTGTCTTTGTCTAGTTCTGTGCCTGTGCGTACATTTCTGCCCTTCTCCCTGCACAAGTTTTCTCTTTATTCTACCACCCTGCGCTTCCCCATTTTCCCCATTTTCCACACAGCTTCCTCCTTACCCAAGCCGTGTAGCCAGTCTCCTCTTCTCTGCCAGCTTCCCCTCCTCAAAGGGCATTTCCTCCTCCAGCACAGATTCAATGAGGTCCTTGTACTCTTCACACTCTGGAGAAACAGAGACACTGTCTCAGGGGAAGCTGGCCCTGCTGCTGGGGTCCAGCCTTCCGGGGAGGAGGAGGGGCCTCCCGAGGACAGATGTCACCTGGGTACCAGGCTCCACACAGGGAAGCCCACATCTGATTCCTCAGCTTTCCCAGCTACTAGCATTTGATTCCCCCCAAGGTAGAGCTGAGGAGACAGAACCTCGTAGAGAGTAAAATAACTCAAAATGATTCAACCGGAATGAAGCAAAGTCAGAATTCACATACTCTTGAGTTGTGATTCCAAATCTTGGGCCACTTTACCAAAGCATGCAGCCTCTTAAGGAAAATATGAACCTGGGCACAGAGTAGGAATTCCCTGTGTGTTTGGGAATCCTCCAAGAACTGTAGGGCTGACAGTCCTCCCATGTTGAGAGTTTCGATAATCCCTCAATATTTCCAAGATTTTAAAGTTTATCTAGATACAACTGTGTAAAAATGCACACGAAGGGGAAAAAACCTGAAAGACATGCTCAATGCTAACAGGTGCTGCGTTAGGTTGGTAGGAAACCTAATACACAGTGTTTGCCAAGGAAATGGCAACCCGCTCCAGTGTTCTTGTCTGGAGAATCCCAGGGACAGAGGAGCCTGGGGGGCTGCCGTCTATGGGGTGGCACAGAGTCAGACACGACTGAAGTGACTTAGCAGCAGCAGCCAAGTTCTAACAGCAGCAGCCTTGTTCTAACAGATTTTTGAGAATTATCATCCTGAAATCATCACCTCTCTCTGAGGAGGTAGATACTATTCCTGTTATCATTACCGATGAGGAAACTGAGTCATGGAGAAGATGAACATCTTGGGTTTGAAACCAGGAACTCTGGCCCCAGGGCACACATTCTTAATTACTATGCTGTGTTACCTATACAGGAAGATATTGGGTGACATATTTCTTCTCCAGTTTTAAAAAAAGCTGTATTATGACCATAATAAATGATGTCAAAACAAACAAACAAACACATTCCCATACCTGAAAGCTCTTTTCACTTCTTTGATAACTAGGCTTTAATTTTAACTTTTTGATCCATGTCAATAAGTTGGATAGCAAATTTTATCCCCCATTGGTTTACTGAAAACTAATAGTAGAAATTTGAAAGTGAACTCCACTTCTGCATCAGTAAGAATTGCGCCCTTTTATTCCTGTCGCCCTCGGTCCTCATTCCCATGTTCCTCAGTCACTACAGCTCCTCCCCTCCCCTTGCTGTGTGCTATTGATGTTCTCATTTCCAGATCTCTGTGGTTCAGTTGGGAATAGAGAGCTTTAAGGACCTTTAAGGTAGGCAGGGTGTCCTGTCACTTCTTTCTTCCCTAGTGCAGCTAGCATAGTGCTTTGCAAATGGATGCCCACAAAAAGTTTGAATTAAATCCTGAGATGTTTAAGCCAACAAGGATATTATGTTTATAGAATCTAATATATATTCCTGAGACAGAAAAAAAGTCTAGGGCCTGAATGAGATCTTAGCCTCTGTTCCTCCCTATATTCTCACTACAAACTATACCCCTTTGTTCGTCAGTGTCTCCATCCTCTGAGATGTGAGGGTTAACTACCTGCTTCCACATTTCTGAGAGTGTAGTAAGGATGCAATTTATTTTGATGAAGGAGGGAAAAGAATACAGTTTGAGGGTGTTTTGTTTCTTAGAGGGAAGACAATCATTTATCACTATGGTGACTGTGACCCCAGGACTTACTGTATTTCTGCAGCTGGTTGGCCAGGGAGTAAACAGTAGCTTGGGACGTGAGCAGTTTCTCTGTGAGGTCTCGAAAGTCCTGTTTGCTTTTTTCCAGCTGGGAGTGCAAGTACTGGTTGGTTTGCAAGATGCCCATTTCTGTCCTCAAACCAGAGAAAGTGGTGTGAGATACGGCCATGCTGAAGCTTAGGGTGGAAGAAGCAGAGCCAGAACCTGGGGAAAAGAAACCCAAAGAAATAAGAAATTAGAGACAAGTGAATGGATTGTGGTAATGCATGTACAGCCTGCTAAATTACTAAAATCATTAAAGAATACAATGTTAATGAGTGGGTGACTATTACAGTATGTAACTTTTGCTTTAATGAGATTTCATTCAGTGGAACAGAATGTTTTAAATGTTTTTAAAATGAAGATGCAGTTTATTACTTACTTTGCGGCCTACTTTGTCAGCATTCCTCAACTCTGAGAATCCTTAACCGTAAAAATGAGGCACAAGAAGCCAAAGCTCAGAGGTCAGGCTCTGACAAGAGTGCCAGAGAGAGGACCCAGCGTGCCAGGTAACCATGTGGAGTTGCAATAACAGAACTGGAAGGTGTGGGGTGTCATGGAATCTCGGGAGCTCCTGTATTCTAGTTGACTAGGCCAAACTGATACTCAAGGCCACCTGGTCTGTTCTGAAGGTCACCACTGACGGGGACATTCCCTCGCTGGCCAATATTTGTGAACCCTAGTACTGATACTACAGATCTATCTCTTTCTAAACTTTAAAGCCATTTTGTACTTCTATTCTTGCAAGCATAGCAAGCATCAAGGATCAATATTTTCCCAAATTCTTTCATTGTCAAAAGGACTATCATGAAGTCACTTTTTCATCAGAAAAATTCAAAACTTTTAGACAGTCTTGATGTTGTTTGTTTCTCTCATTTCTTCCACACCATTTTAATATTGTGAGGAAAAAATCCTGAATTTAATACTGTACTTGGTATGTGAGTAATTAACTTACAAGGATTACTGACTAGATTATGTCTTAATTACCTTCTTGGTAGAGACCAATATTATAGTAGCTTCTTTTCCCTCACTGGGGAAGCACGTGGGCTTCTCATTAAACTTGAAATCAGGTTTGACCTCCCTGCCTCCAGCCCCATCTTCCTCTTCCTCTGTGGGTTGCTTTGTGTTTTAAACTGCATATAAGATTTTGTGCTTGTCCCTTGTGAATATCATCCTAGCACCACAGGGTTTCTTTCCAACTTGTTAAAGTCACTGAAATAGGTTTTCTTTTTTTTTTTTTTTAAAAAGCATTTAGTTATTTTGAATTTTTAAAATTTATTTATTTTAAATGAAACAAAGATGAATATTTTTAACGATAAAAGGTACACAATTCACAAAGAAGACAGATATAAACCATTAGACATCTTAACAACAAAGAAACAAAGATACATAAAGCAAAAATCAGAAGAAACATAAAAGAAAAAATATATCATCATAGTGAAACATTAACATTTCTCTGAGAATATTTTATCAAGTACAGAAAAAAGAATAGGAGCATCTTGAATGGTGTCAATAATTTAAATATAATAGATTTATATTTAATTAATTTATATTAATCATATCCTACCCAAATATATTCAAAATTTTGTATCTCATACACTGTGATTAGATATCCATAAGACATAGAAAAACTAGCAAAAAGATAAACATTATTAAATTTTCAAAAACTAGAATTCTTTTTTGTGTGTGTGCTTCAGTTACACATACACACATATATTATTTTTGAAATTATTTTCCATTAAAGGTTATTACAAGATATTGACTATAGGTCCCTGTGTGTGTGTCTGCGCTCAGTCACTCAGTCATGTCCGACTCTTTGTGACCTGTGGACTGTTGCCCGCCAGACTCCTCCGTCCATGGGGATTCTCCAGGCAAGAATACTGGAATGCGTTGCATGCCCTCCTCCGGAGTCTAGTCCCAAACCAGGGATTGCAAGCGGGTGTCCTGCATTGCAGGCGGATTCTTACCGTCTGAGCCCCAGGGAAGCCCACTCGGGTGGAAATCGCCTGGTGGACACAGGAAACCGAAGCACAACCTCGGCCCCGGAGGCCTGGGCCAGGGTGGGCAAACTCTCATTCATTGGGTGTAGGCGAGGAAGCGGGAAGAGCCATCATGGGGCCCAGCGTGTGTTCAGCTGTCCTTGGATCCATTTCCGTTCAGGCCCGTAGGATAGGAGCGCTGGCTCCTCGTATCTCTGGGGGCTCTGGCATCTGTGGTTGGTAGAGGGCACGGAAATGGCACCGTTTCCCGGGGGCAGGGGTCTTACCCTAGGAAGAAGTGTTAATTCCAAAGACTCCAGGAAAGGCCGGTACTGCTGTCTCCGTAGCGCAATGGGTTAGGGCGTTCGGCTGTTAACTGTGAAGGTTGGTGGTTCGAGCCCACCCAGGGACGGTGGGGTGAGGTTTTAGAGAACACCAAAGAGACTCCCTTTTGCCAGGAGAACACCGGGAAGTGCAGCGGCGAGGTGGCAGGCAGAGAAAAGAGCCCAGGAGTCAGGTATAAAGGAGCAGCGGGGAGGGCGGGTCCCGGGGGATTGGAAGCGGCGATCAATCCTGAGACCCCAGAGTGCTGACCGCCTGCGCCATGAACAGGGCCACCGAGCCGCGGGCCCGCAGCCCGGGAGGGGCGGCGTCCACACCGCTGGGCTGCGGGGTCTCCTGGCCTCGGACGCACCCACTGTCCCCGCCTCTTGCGGGGGCGACACCTGAGCTCGGGGGCGGAGCTAAGGGTCTGAGGACTCTGCGTTGGGTGCGGGACCCCGAATGCAGCCTGTGGGGGCCCCAGTGTCCTCACTTGAGGGGAGATGAGGAACTCTAAAGCAGGGCCCTCACGAACCGCTGTCTCCGCGTCTGAGCGAGTTTGGGGCTTCAAGGTTCCTGTTTGAGTGTTAAAATTTGGTGGTCTGATGCTGGAGGCAGCATTCGGGATTTCATGGCATATAGTGTTAAATACTGGAGATTGTGCCGTTTCCGTAGTGTAGTGGTTATCACGTTCGCCTCACACGCGAAAGATCCCCGGTTCGAAGCCGGGCCGAAACAGGTTGCTCTCCCCCACTCCCACCGCGGACATTTGCGTTCGCATTGGCAAAGGCGACAGGCACGGGGTGAGGCACGCACTCAGCTAGCTGTAGGCCCATGAGGTATTTCTGACGACTCATCTTTCTCCTGAAGAAGCGAAATAACCTTTTGTCTACAGCTCCCTGGTGGTCTAGTGGCTAGGATTCGGCGCTCTCACCTCTGCCACCCGAGTTCCATTCCCAGTCAGGGGAAACTTTCTCTGTTCCAGCGTCTGTACTCACACAAGTCTCTCTCTTCCTGCCGCGATGGGAACCGTATTTTGCTTAAAAGTCCAGTGTAGAACATTTCTGCACAGAGTTCCTAAGACGCTGAGTCTGGGCCTAGCGTCCTGGACCTCAGGCTGGCTGTTGGAGCTGAGATGCTGTGAAAGGCCTGAGCTGGCCAGCTCTCGCCTCCACTCTTTTCTCCTGGCATGGTAAACCCAGAGCCTTACTTACAGAGTTTTCATTCCAGCATGTGAGGCTTCAGTTCCAAAAATTCATTAAAAACCAAAACCCAAAGCTTTTGTAAGATACCAAAAGTTGGCAGATGGTATATTCTGTACCTACGTGGGCAGTTAACATCATATTCTTACTTTCTTTATGTAAGAGTTATGACATCACTTGATAATAACATGCAGACATCTCCGGATGGTTCCTTTCCTTTGGCGTCCCTCTCAAAGCTATCTTCTGTGGGACCTGTCTTCCAAGGACAGGAACAGCTTGGCCGTCCAGAAGAGGGCCCTCATGGCCCTTCAGGAACCTGGAATCTGGTCTCTTTTGGATGTAGAGAGGGTATGTATATTAGTCGCTAGTCATGCCAGACTTTTTGAGATCCCTTTGGACTGTAGCTCACCATGCTCCTCTGTCCATGGATTCTCCAGGCAAGACTACTGGAGCGGGTCGTCATTTCCTTCTCCAGGGGATCTTCCCGACCCAGGTCTCCTGTATGGCAGGCAGATTCTTCACCATCTGAGCCACCAGGGAAGCCCAAAACAAACACGACCACAATGCACTGACCAGGAATCAAACCGGGTCTCCCGGGTGATAGGCGAGAATTCTACCACGGAGCCACCAACGCCCCTACTGAGAGGCTTTTTAAAAGAATAACCTAGATGGTGTTTTAGTCAGCTCTTTCCAGGTGCAGGCCTGTCATGCCCTGTACTTGTAGGATGCTCTAGGCTTTCATCCTCTGCCCTCCGCAGCACCGGCTGCCCTCTGGCCTCTTGCAGGTTGCTTGGGTGGACAGTCAGTGGTGCTTTGATCCGTCTGACTGGTGGAACCACCTCGTCCTCATCCCCACTGGCTCAGTCATATCTGACTCTTTTCGACCCCATGAACTGTAGCCAGTCAGGCTTGTCTTTCTATGGAATTTCCCCGCTACTTTGCTAGAAACCCATCGGGTCAGTGCAGCTGCCCCCTTCACTCTTGCCTGGCTCCCCGTGTCCTGCAGGGATGATAAAGTGTCTGTCAGGACACAGAGGTGAAGAATGCTTCCCTGTGGCTGGTGGAATAGAGAACCAGATGGAAAACACTTCCAAGGGAGGGGGGAATACCCTCAAGAGCTTTCCAGGACTGTTGTGCGGGTGCTGTCAGCTGGGTCTAAGGCCCAGTATAATAATGCTTAGTCTTGTGTTCTCTGGCCTTGACCCAGTCCCAGGTCCAGTCTGAACTCAAGCACAGAGGCATCCTGCTTTACCACACATATTCCACTCTCCCTCTCTCCAAAGTGGGGGAGTGAACCACCTTATCTATCTCAATGAATAGAACCCATGTGGGTTGTTGTTTTTTTTTTCCCCCTTGAACCTTCTGTTCTGCTGAAATGTAACTCAGGAATATAAAAAAACTTTAGCTTTGGATAAATCAGTGCTATCCATGCTATGGACAAGAAAAAACATCAAATTGATAGTAAGGATGAATCTTGAATGCTTTTAACTCTCTAGATAATACTAACAATTGACGTATAATTCTATAGAAAATGTTTGTCCTGTCATACTCTCAGAGATGACTCCTGGTATGCCTTATTCAGCTTTAATAATTTTGGTCTAAAAACTACTTCATGTTGACTTTCAGAT